AGTATTGTAGCATCACTTTGCACTTTGAAGGTGCAAAGCGCCTGCCGAAAGGAGATGTCAAGAGCGTATTGCGCATCCTCCATAGATTCGAACAGGCATACGATGTCATCAGCGTACTCTAAATCGCACAGCTTTTCTCCAGCTGACTATTCAACACCGACGTTTTGCAGACCACTATGTGCGGTCTCCAGTATTTCGTCTACGACGAAATTGAGCAGGAATGGCGAAATAGGCCACCATTGACGAACACCGCTCCTGGTTTCAAACGATTTAATCAGCCCATCGTAGACGCTTACGCTACCAGAAGTATGCAGGTACAGCGACCGCAACAGGTTTACATACTTCTACGGCATTCCACTGCCAATGAACGACCCAATAAGAGCTTCACGGTCAACTGAACCGAAGGCTCCTTTTAGGTCAAGGAACACTGCGATTTTTGCCCGACGATGTGTGGGAGGCAATTCGAGAACTTGACGCAAAGTGAAGATTTAATCGATGCAACTGTGACCTGGTCGGAATACGGCTTGCTGTTCGTTGGTATTCATCTCCCTCAAGGTTGTCTGGCGGCGGAGTATCACAGAAGTGAACACTTTTTTGGTTATTGGAACTAAAATAATCCCGCGGTGGTTTGCACGGTCGTTGCGTGATCTCCTCTAGACGACCGGGACGATCAACGATTCACCCCAGGACAAAAGGATGCGCTCCTCCGACCAAATGCTGTGAAGTAAGCTAGTGATCGAGTCAACAAAATAACCACCTCCCTCCTTAAAAAGAATAGGGAGAACCCCATCAGGCCCAGCTGCCTTCCCTTTCTGTAATGACTGAATGCAGCTTCGTATTGCTAATTCTGATGCGGGGTCACATGTTACCGCCCATGGGGTATCAGCCGCAATAGCAGGAATGACCGCATTAGAGCTAGGCCAATTGAACTGTTCCATAAAGCACTCAGCCTAGCGATCAAGTCGTTGTTCTTTATTGTGGATACACTGACCACTTTTATCGCAAATGGTCTCAGTGACTGGTATGCGACGACCTCCGGTGTTGCGTATCAGGTGAAACAGTCTTTGACTATTCCCTAATGCAGAAGCTACCTCCATTTCACTCGCTATTTTGGCCCACCAGTTTTTCTGAGTTCACGTTGCAGGCGCCACCGGTCCGTACACTGATCTTGGCAGATTGGGACCTTCCGCTTTTGATCCATCAAGAGTACTGAACTCTGAGGGATTCAATGTTTTCGGCGAACTTCCGCCTCGGCACCACTAGGAAAGCTGGCACTGAGTGCATCGCAAATCTAATTTGATTCCACTACTAGTCTACTCCACTATGCCGTGTTTGTCTTAGCTCCTGTCCCAGCTTCTCCTCATAACGGGCACAGACAGATGGATCACGCAGACGATGACGAGCTAACTGAGGCGATTTCTGCCGATGACCGATGAGTCGAAGGGTGAAGCGTAATAGAACTAGGGCATGATCCGACTCAACGCAGGTGGTCAAAATAGGATCTGCAATTTTGTACTGAACTACGCCAACAGTAGCTTACAGCTATGTGATCAATTTGCGTCAAGATCAACTTGTTAACGTAAACAGACATTCGAAACATTTGGAGGGATGAAGAAACAGGCCGAAGGTGGCAAAGAATTGTTGAACGTTATTTAAGTTGCCAGGAGATTGTGAAAGGCGAAAAGAATCGCAGATAACCTGAAGTAAAACCACATCATCAGCGCACTTGAAGAAAGACGAAGGGGCGTTAGGGTATTTTTTTATCAACAGCCAAAAAGCTTTTTTTTATTTCGAAATAAGTTATGCAGATTGAAAAATAACCGTCTCTTCAATCCAACCTATGACTGGTCTGCTCTACCACTGACTTACTTTTACTTATGGTTTAATTTTACGTGGCTATTTCCCCGATCTTTTTATACAAATAGCTGAAACTGATTTTGGACTTACGGCACTTTGCACCGGAGTTCAACACAGAAAGTGATGTTCGTCAGAGCTGTCTTCGTGTCTTCATGCGATGGTTGTGGCATCGAATGGCTCCAAGACGGCAGACTATCTGGTCTAGAGTACGCATTCAACATTGCACTGCTAAGAGAAGAACCGGGTAGGTCGCGACATCCGGCTGTCCGTAAAGGGTCGCCTATAAGCTGCATCAGTTCGGCCAGTGCTGCAATATGGTGCAGAAACTTGGACCTTACGGGAACAGGTGTTCGAACACCGCTGTCTACGTCGCATTGCACGAGTCTGGTAGGGAACCGGACAAGCAATGCTGAGGTTGGGCGCAGCTTTGGTTAATAGTCACCGTTCACTGGAGCAAGTGGTTGACCATCAAAGATTACGCTGGTTGGGACAAGTGCTGCGTATGTTACCAAAATAGGTTGCCACGGCGAGTGATATTTACGGAGACAGGTAGCCGATGAGGAAAAGGTAATGGGTGGTCAAATTCACATCTGGCATGAGAGGAGGAAAACCCTAAGAAGAAGAACGGGTCACATAGGTCATGTTATGTTACCTGGCTGGGGACCCCGAGATCATGGTAGCTGGCGGTCAGAAACGCTGAGAGATACGTTGAGTGTTGCAAACGGTGGTGCTCGTGCATCTACTCAGTATTCTTGTAACCGCAGTCTATACGAATTCTCTATTTTCCCTTTCATTGTGATCTCAACCTTCCAATCTTCATTCTGCCCTTCTATCTGAATGAGCGGCCAAAAGACAGCAAACAAAACCGGTGCACAAAAGTGAACGGTTAACGGGTGTAATACCTGAGACTGAATCATTGGAGATGTGATTTTCTCCCTGGAGCAGGAGACTGGAATGCACGCATTTGTCCATCAGAAAAGCACACTCGGCATGGTCTCCGGATGTTCCGCCGTGATAAACGCGGCGAAAATGGCGAACACCTATTTACATTTTCTGACCTTAAGCGGTACCCGTTAACCGTTGAGGAATCGATGCGAAATAAGCTTAAACACTACACTTCGGGTTCATCAGGCTTCCAACTGCCTCATTCTCACCTATGGTTGTGAAACACGGTCGCTAAGAATACAAGATACAAGAAAGCTCGAAGTCTGATCACTAGTGCTTACGCCCTATCTCGGAAGTAAATAGGAGAGATCGGGTTTCCAATGATGAGATTCGACAGAGCTACTCGAACATCAGCAAGTCTTCCAGAATGCTGCAACGCTGGTGTCTTCAGTGGTTTGGCCATGTGCTCCGAAGGCCCGACACTCCATTCTCGCGACATGTTGTAGCCCTCGCACCGTGCTGTGGATGGCGTTGCCGACTCGGTGTTCAACTAAAGGCCCGAAGCAGTACGACCAAAGGGATATGGGACCATTGGGCCTCCAATCCGTATATGTAATTCGTAACTGGAACCAGAACTGGGTCTTTCACCGTCCGTAGATCGTCACGAGTGGGCTGTTATCATCAGAGACATCCAAGAAGCCGACCACCACAGGAGAGAGTCGATCAAAAGTAACGCGCAAATTAGGTTCTCTTGTCTGTGACTTGGAGATGCACTCGGCTCTGCTAGCCGTAGGCTCATGGCAGTATGTGACCCGGTTTGAGAGCAGCTCGGACTGTCTTCAGCTTCATTGACTGTATATTATTCGCGTACAAATAAACGGAAATTAAACAAGAATCACTTACCTCACTCCAGATTAATTTCAAGGCAAGTAAGCCGAATATCATACCGCCAAAATTTTAAACGATAAAAACTAAAACAATGATGAATAAATGAATACAAACATGTCGATTGCATGAGAGAGAAACAAGCAAATACTTACAGACGGTGTGTATTTCAATCGGGTCGATCAAATGCGCGGACAAACTGAACGGCTGATGATGACAGATTGACGGAGTGGTTAAATCTGTCACCGGTTCTGGATTATGATACATTTCCAGACGGCAAAAGCGAGGAGCATGCGCACGACTTAATCCCGTGAGTAATACTCGATTGCTGCGACGCACCGCGTTGTGACGTGTGATACGTGGCACATCACCGCCTGGAATATCTTTGAAATAGGCGGGACAGGAAAATATTGGGGGTGAAAAAAACTGTGAGTAGTTTCATTCGGCTTCTGAGTCGAGCGAAATTAACGACGCAGGTCAACGATCCGGTTTAGGATATATAGTACTGGAATGAAATCAGTTGTTGATTGACTGATCGAAAATCTAGACAGTAGCTTCAGTGGGCAGCAAGAATAAACATTATGATAAGGCAATGTCTGTATCAGATGATGTTTTTTAAATGTACCAACGATTAATAATAAGGACTAGACACTTAAAAGGAATATCTCTTTAAATTAGTTGCATAGCAACAGGTGAAAGATATACCTTTGTTTTCATGAGATTCTGGTTTTTCATTCATGATCTGATAACTTGATAAATGAATAAAATCATCCGATTGCATAGCTCTGTGTTTCTCACGCTGCTCCGTAAAATTTGAAAGGAAAACAATTTATTCTTTCTATAATAACCGGAATAGATGTCAGACAACTGTCGTACAACAAGAAAATGGGACGATTCGCCGAAAATTATCGATATAAACTAAATAGTGACAAAGAATAATCGTAAAAGGTCAATAAGAAAGGCTTTTCAGAGCGCTTGAGGAAGAAACCACGCTAGACATCTGACATTGTGTTTTGACTTATCAAACACGATTCACCACATGGTTCGCTGACATTTAGGATGCACTTTTCCTGAGCATCATGACCTCATCCGTCATGATGTCCTGATCCCCTTGAACATTTGCTTACATACTGTATCGTTTCTCGTGCATCATGATTGTCCTTGGATTTCACTCAATTATGTCGTACATGACTCCCATGCATCAACATTATCCCCGAATCCCTTAATCATGTCATGCTATATACTTTATTTGTATCATGCTATCCTGTATTTCCGTGGCCGTCCAGTTTTTGGATCCATTGATAATTGTTCACCTGCTTGTTGGCCCGCTTGGTTTATAGTGCACCTAGCCCTCCCCCTTAGAGTGCACTTCCGAAGAGCGGGTGCCCCTTTAGAGCGAATATCGGGTCGGGGATACATTTACCAGGGATTCACGTGATGAACATGTACAATGACAATCGGAATTCTGATCGAGATTTAAGTCAATGGGTCAAGCGATGTTAATCACTTGAAAGCACGTGGATTGTGCACGACTGTAAGTCTTCCGACGAATCTGGTCACAGTCATACCAATGCCCGCTGCATCTAAATCCTCTATCTTCTCCAAAGGTTTCGTCCCACAGCATTAACAACTTCAGCTTTGAATTTAAGTAAAAAAATTATCCTCAAACGCATTCAGCAGTCTATATATATTCTTTATGATCGTCTACAGTATGCTTACAAGCCCAATAGATCCACTTTAGACGCAGTCTCTTCCCTTATTGATTTAAGTCTGTTCTGTGTATTTTTCTTGACTATTTTTCAACAGTTCATTGCATTCCTCAATCAAAGTTTTTACAGAAACTGGAATCGTTTGAGTGCACCAAGCAACTGTTAGCTTGGCCATCCAAATAAATTACTGATAGAGAAAAACGAATAGACTTGGGAAAGCTTCATCTAAACCCTTAGTCAATAACTCCGGAGTTCTTCAAGGAGCTGTGCTATCCCCATACGTATTTTCCACTTACATTTGTGATATTCCTTTTGTTTCCCTTGCACTCATTTTGAAATATGCAGATATTGTGCTGTGCCGTTTTTTCTATCTCCGATTTAAGCTCCTTCACCGACAATATTGGTAAAATTCAGCCATTCTCCTCCCTATCGGGACTAAGCTTAAACCTCAGTAAAGGTGTTGAATGTTAGTATAGTTTAGCACAGTGTTCATAGCCAAAACACCCCACAGTGATAAATAACAATCCTTTTTCTAGGGTGAACCCTGTTAAATATTTTGGTGCAACGATAGATAGCAATTGTCGTTGGTCAACCTACATCCACAACTGCATTGGTAAACTGCGGCACCTATCATTTCTAATTCGAAAGCTCAGGAAGTTTCGCACATCTCAGTGAGTTATTTCTACCTTCATTCAATGTGTTTTCCCCGTCTTTACTTTCTTGTTCCCCAGTTATTTTTCTTGGCTCACTTAAACCGGATTTCAAAGTCTTACCCCACGGCCTAACTATTATTAACCGCGTTTCTTCTTTTCTGTGAATGACTTAGCTGTAAAGCCTTCACAGTACCATATACCTTCCTCTGTCAAATTTGCGGAGAGGATTCTCACTGATCTTGACCACCGATTGCACTCAGAACTGACACGTCGTTCCCATCCCAACACACGTTCCCAATTCCGTCAAATTTCATCTCAAATTAACGTTTAACGAAAAACACCGGTACTATATCTTGCACGTTTACTCATAAACACAGAGAGGGTAACAAGGGAACTTCGTCTTAAACTTGATTTACGAAATGTTCCTATGTCTGTAAACACATTTTCCCCATTGAGTAAGTTTTTTGTGACGGTTGGCGTGCATAGATTTTTTTAACCAAAAAGTAAGCTTTGGTAATTACAAAAGTTATACAATGCAAAACAATACAGTACGATATTCGGTGTAATCAACAAACAAAATGAATCGCGTTTCGCATAGGTAATTATCTCACATTCGATCGAATGTGGCACAAGGGTCTATCGGCCAAACCAACAATGTTTGGAGTTCCTCCAGCGCGTATTTACATATCTGCACTTTCTCGAAGTTCCC